AAAATTTCATTTCCCTCCATTTTCCATTCACCCTCTTTTAAGTATTTAATATATTAATTAAATACATCCAAAACCCAACAATCCCCCACATGAATGGGGAATGGCTAGTTACGTGCTAGAAAGAGATGTGATTATAATTAAATTGAAGAGGGTAGTTACTTTTCTGTTACCAAAACAGAAAAACGGATTGGATTTAATATTAATATTTAATATTAATATTCTGTTATTAAAACAAATATTTAATAACATTTCTGCCGAAGCCGAAGCCGTAGCCGTAGCCGAAGCCGAAGCCGAGCCGAGCGACGACGGCGCGAGGCTTGCCTTCTTCTCAACTCTTTAAGAGCTAGAAGAAGAGCAATTGCTTATATACCCATAAAAAACCTCTTCCTCTTCCAATATGGGACAATGCCCATTTGCCGGGGGGGGGGGGGGGGGTAACTTAAAATTTCACTCAAAAATTTCATTTCCCTCCATTTCTCATTCACCCTCTTTTAAGTATTTAATATATTAATTAAATACATCCAAAACCCAACATGTTTGATTATTAGGTACAAGTAGAGTTTGAATACAACTATAAAACGTTTGGAAGATGTCACGCTACACGATTTGGGTAAAGTTCATTTTTAGCAAATGCCTAATTTTAGATAAATCGAATAAAGTTAAGTACATACCTGAGCCTAGGGGTGTCAATGGATATTTAATAATCGACTAAAACCGACCGAATCGTACTGAACCGAACGATTTTTAGGTTTCTTTTAATAAAACCGTAGGTTTTTATATAAATCTATAACCGAACCGATAATTAGGGAAGGTTTTTTATTTTATGAAAATAAATCGAAAAAATACCGAACCGTACCGAATAAATTTACAACGTGAAAAATATATTTATATATTAAGATTAAAAATAATATAGCACTAAATTTTTTCTGGGGCATTGGAATTATGAAATAGTTACAAGCCAACAAGTAATTAAACTTAAAATTCTAATTCCCAAACCTATTATGCTACTCCTATTGAAACTAAATTATTTCCAGCATATCACTAGCAAAACACAAGGTATTGTAGCGATTATGAGTAGCAAACTACAATGTATTGAATATGTTTCCTTTCGTATGATTTAGATTTATCTTCTTGAATATTTAATCTTCTATAGACTTTACTCTTATGACCCAACTTGGTTAATATCTTTCCACTCGTGTGATTTATATTTTTTTTGTATTTGCTTAGTTTCTTTTATGCTGATGTAGAATAGTTGATGGATCTATACTCTACCATCTTTTATATTTCTTAATTTATCACCTTTTAAACTGTAAAAATGTCTAGAGAGTTTGCTAAGTCCTATAAAAGTACGTATGTTATTGCATTCTACTTCTACTAGTAACTTTTACATGACATTTAAAAAAAATTACCGAATATTTACCGAACCGTACTGATACTGAAGAGAAACCAACATGATTGGGACGGTTTCGAAAAGTCTAATTTTGGTTATACATAATAGAATAACCGAAAAATTTATATGGTACAAATTTTATAAAATAACCGGCCGAACCGAACCATTGACACCCCTACCTAAGCCAATTCCTGTGGCTTCTGGTCTTCTGCAGTATTATTTATTAGGGACTAAAACGAAATAAAAATAAGTTGAGGATGTGGAATTCAAATTAAACCATGACCGTTGGAACAGTCGTTTTAGTCCTTGAGGTTTTAAAAGTTGCGCACATGGTTCAGTAATTAAACTAA